ACTAGGGAAACCATGTATTCAATTCTCATTGAAAACTAAATTAGAAAACCAGCCAGTAAATGAGATTAGACAGCAAGCTTGATTTTCCAAAATACTAATTATTGAAATTATTAAACAAAATAAAATAAAATAAAAACCAACCAGTAGAGATATTGGAGCAAAAAGGAAAGGGAAAGGAAAAATTATATTTGACTTGGGGAGGGGTTATTTTGGAAAAAAGCCAATAAATTGTTTTGGATCTTAGTATTTGTTTTGACAAAAATAAAAGCCTATCTAAAAAGAGACTAACTCACAAAATCATATGTTTTTTCAGATAATCGGAGTGATTAACATTAGAAAGGCGTCTCATGTAACGTGTGGTTGTCGCGAGAGAGGTCATGACGGCTTTGTGAGTGACCGATCAAAAAGATGATTTCCTTTTTAATTTTGGTTATTATCACTTAATACTAATTCTAAGTAATATTTGTTTAAAATCTATATCTTTATATATATTAAAGGAGAGTTTTCAATCGAACACAACATGGCGCAAATTTAGATAGGTTAATCCACATGGTAGAAAATTAGATAGCCAAGTCCACATGTCGCAACCACATTGCTTCATCATTTAATGGTAATTTTTTTAATGTAAAATTATAAATTTATAGATAAACAGTAAATTAACTAAAAAACACAAGGAAAAAATTCTAAATTATCCACAACTAAACCCTAAGTGATTAACAACCAGTTACTGTGGAATATATATATATATATGATAAAATAAAATAACCCTAATAAAAAAATTTGGCATACCCAACCGACAATTTGTACCCTATAAGAAAGATTCAGTCTATAGATGTTAATACCTCCAAATCAAAAATTCATACTACACACCCTATTGATCCATTTGGTAATTTTTTATTAATGGTAATTTTTATTTATAAACCCGTAAAATCTATATAAAATAATCAATTTTACCCGGTTTGATTTTTTTTTCAATAACCATGCAAATTAGTAAATCCATAAGCTATAAAGAGAATCAAATTAGTAAATTCATAAACAAGATTTTTATTTAGAAGAGTAACCAACCACTTAGCAAATCTGTAAAATATATATAAAGAATCAATTTTATGTGATTTAATTTTTTTTTTGTATTTAATCACACAAATTTATAAACAATATTTTTATTTGGAAGAGTAACTAATCGCTTCATCATCATCACATTATTATTTCTGCTCTTTGATTTTAAGAAAAGAATAAAGATGGGATTATATTCTTGAAAAATTACAACAAAATTTACGTTGCTTCCAACTTTATTGAAAATATAGACCCAAAGTTGTTTTACTATATTGTTACATAAGTCAAAACCAAAACGCAAAGAAGAAACAGATTACATTGCACCATAGAAACAAAATAGCTTAAACGAATTCAAAAGTCCGAGACACATGGTCTCTTTTTCAAGTTGTAACAATCAAAGTCTAGCCTAACAGTGATGATTGTTGAGGCTTTACACATGCATAGTTTGTTGAAAAGATACTATGCTAGAACCGTCGAGCAATTCTCTACATCACCAGAAATTGATATTCACAACCGGTTTCAATTGCTTAAATCAACGGATTATTATGATGGTGCCTGCATCATAATCTAAAGTGATAAAAACATTAATAGTCATCTCCGTCACATGCAGTCAAGCATAATTACATTTACCAAATTTTAGGAAAATTCTCAAAGAAAATGATACAATTACAACTCCAATATAACTTCTGGATACTTTTTATCAAATCCAAGTAACTACTCTGTAGAGAATGTGGAGTTTATTGACATACTAGAAAAAGAGAAGGAAATCGAAACAGATGTGGGAGAAAGGGAAAAAAGAGTTGGCTCGGAAGAAGTGACAATTCGATCGAGATGTTGACTAAAGAATGGTAATTAGGGTATAAGACTTTCAAAAATCTGTACATTTGATCAATGCACCTTTTTATAGTGTACTAAAGAAGAGTCAATTCACATTTTTATAGTCGGGTCATTTCTAAAGAAGCTGCACATTTGTGAATTTCTTTCTGTTAATATTACAATGCCAAGTGTTTACTTATTTCCTTACTCAACAAAATTACATAATCATTGATTTCTTATGGGATGCCACAGGCGAGATTTCATTCAATTGAAATTATTTAAGATTGTGTGGACTCAATTTTGATTATGAAATCAAAGCAGGTTGAAAACTTAAAGTAAGATTTTTTTTATTATTTATTATTATTATTATTTGTAAAAAAAACCAAGATATTAATAAAAAATGAAATAATTATAACAAATATTCCTATAAGGAAAAAAATGAGATATTCGTGAAGAACGAAATAATTAATACAAATGTTTCAAGAAATAAAACTTTAAAGCAATATCATCAAATTTATAAAGAAAAAAAAAAAGAAAAGAAAATAGTGAAAACTATGCAACCAAGAAAAAGTATACACAGAAGATTTCCTACTCCACTTTATACATTATTCACTAAGATTTTAAGATATGGCCCGATGGCGGATGGGTTCATCTAAAGCGGATTAAGCTGTTAGTAAAAATTTTAAAAGAAAAGTAACAATTAAGTAGAGAACTGTAAAAAAATATTATATGGTGGATTAAGAAGTGTTGTAGGATTAAGATATAGGAAATCATGAGCAAAAAAATGAAGTAAACATTATATTATAAGAAAAAAATACAAATAAAATTCGAAGGAAACATTACAAAAAGTATATAGAATGATAAAAAAAAACTGTAAGTTTATGAAATAATGCGAAAATTTTCTGTTAGAAGAACAATTTAGAAAATATGATATGGGTAAAAATATGGGTAAAAATATTTAAAGAGATCATTATAAAAAATTAAAAGAATACTTTTAAAAGATATAAAGTCATAAATCAACAAAACAACAAAAAGATGGACAATAGTTTACATTAGATGATTTCGAATATTGAAAATTATTCCAAATATACTTAAAATAACAAAATATATTATAATACTAAAAATTCCACAATTGCTATTTATATCATTAATATTATTTTTCACATATATCACTTTATTGGAAATGTCATATAATCGTTAAATCATTAATCTAAATATATATCTTGAACGACCTGCACAACGTGCAGCGTAAACACTAGTATATATTAAAACAGAGTTTTTAAACAGAGTTCTTAATCGACACGTGTCGCCCAGGGAGTAAGTTTAGCCAATTCTGCCACTTGTCGTTACCAAAATTCTCCTTCATGAAACAGTTAAAAGTTTATTACCAATACATAAAATTATTAAATTGAATTAAGTAATTAACCAAAAGTTAATTTCGGAAAATTAAATATCATGTTTTTGGTAATCATTGACAAATAAACGACATAACGAAACATTAATTATCAAATTAATAATTGTAGTAAGAATACAGTTTGGAACAAAATTTGGATACATTAAACGTAAGTTAATATTATTTTTCAGATGATCTTGTTTGATATATTTTCCAAAAATAAAAGATATTAGTTGCCAAAAAAAATTATTATTACAAATATAACTCGAAACCAAGTCTGCCTACATTAAACGTATGTTAATATTATTTCTTAGATAATTGGTATATTTTCTATAAATAAAAAGAGACTACTAACCAAAACAAAGAGCTTATTTACTAAATAATTATATGAATACAATTCGAAACTAAGTCTGGATACATTAAATATGTGTTAATAATATTTTTCTGATGATTCTATTTGATATATTTTCCAAAGATAAAAATATATTAGTTACCAAAAACAAAAATATATATATATATTAGTTACCAAATAATTATACTACGAATACAATTCGAAACTAAGTTTGGATAAATTAAACATAGGTTCATATTATTTTTCAAATTATTCCATTTGATATATTTTTCAAAAATAAAAAGAGATTAGTTACTACGGGCTTATTTGCCCAACACTTATTTTGCATTTTTGTCTCATTTTACCTCTTAAAACACCTCTCAAACACAAATCCTAATACTATCCAAATATATTATTAGTTTATTTAAAATATCACCCAAACAATTTTTCAAATTTTATCTCAAACCCAAATTAAAAACCAAAACAAAAATTAAAAAAAAAAATATTGGCCAAACAAGGTACTACAAATACAATTCAAAACCAATTCTGTATACATGTAACATAGGTTAATATTGTTTTACAGATAACTCCATTTAATATATTTTTCAAAAGATAAAACAGATTAGTTTAAAAAAATAAAAGGAGATTAGTTACTAAATAATTATATTATAAATACAATTTGAAACCAATTCTGGATACATTAAACGTAGATTAATATTATTTCTTAAATGATTTTATTTGATATATTTCCTTAAATAAAGAGATTAGTTTTTTCCTCCATATTTTTGTGTTTTATTTACTTTTGTTGGAATTTTCTTTTTCTATTTTGCTTTATGTCTAAAAAATGAATATTTACAATATTTGATTCAATTACTACAAGTAAACAACATATATATGTGTTTTAGTCAATATATGCTTATATCCTTAAACAATTGGCATAGTAGACATTTGATCATATTTATTCATATTTAGGTTTTTTTATTTTTTTTAATATACTAACATTCCTAAACAAGAAGCATATTAGATAGTTGAACATATTAATTTGTATTTTCAAACCCATATGGCTAACAAATACTTGATCAAAGTGGTAAAAGTATTGGACCAAATTAACTACGATCCATAATTAAATCTGTGCATGGACATGTAATAATGATTGTTGGGAGAGGTTTGTCTTCCGAAAAGGATCTACCTGATTCAAAAACGGATTAGTTAAAACAAACTTCGAACAACGGATGCGCTATATACTAAAAAAAAAAAAGAAAAAAAACAAAAAAAAAACATGACACTCTTAATTTTGGACTCTGAGTGCCTATTATACCAAAAAATGGAAAGAAAAAAAAAAGACATTTTTCATAAGAAAATAATGATATATTAATATTACTCTAAAATATATTAAAATCCGTAAAACGTGCGAGTATAATACTAGTAATTATAAAGATGCTTTTCTTCTTTACTGAACGAGGAGAAATGAACCTTTCCTGTAGGTGGTGACTGGTGAAGTTATATCCTGAGATTATGAAGTTGGATTCCCATCCTTTAAGATGGATATATAATACACAATAACCACTATCGCCCAACCTCTGAAATGAACATATGATATACGATCAACACGATGCAGTTGCTTGACCTTCAAAATGCTACATTTCAGAATAATTATTCATCTCCAAGTTGATTTTATACTAAAAAGGATAAACACGAGCATCCTCTTGGAGTTGGACCTAAAAAAAAAAAGGCCAAAAATCAATTATAACAAAAATCTGTGGCTAAATATGGGACCTCTTCTTCAACCGGCACCACAATCCATTTTTTGTATGAATTGTTGCACCAGTGACTAGTTCTACAGATTCTGGAAATCCTTTAAGCTCTACATCAAACTTTTGCAGCAACATTGCTAGTGCGATTGTTGACTCCATTAATGCAAACTGGTCTCCGACACACTTTCTTGGCCCTCCTCCAAAAGGCAAAAATGCAAAATCTGATATAATCTGCCAATCCGAAGAAAAATCACATTAAGAAAAAGATGTTGCTAAACATACTGGGAGCCTAAAAGAGAAAGCATATAATTGGGAAAGAAACCTCGTTAGGGTACAATGCTCCAGGACTTCTGGATGGATCAAAACCACCCCACCCTTGAATGTCTTCACCTACCCTTTTCACGAGAAACCTCTCCGGTTCAAATTCATTAGGTCTATCCCAAAAGTATGGAGATCTATGAAGATTGTATACAGAAACAAAAATATCAGTCCCGGCAGGGATTTCATAACCATTCTTGTCACCATTATGACCTCCAGGTATTGTATCAGATGTCAGAGCACGCCTAATGAGTAATGGAGGCTGTGGATATAAGCGTAGAGACTCGACAACGATAATCCGTATGTAATCTAATTTCTTAATTATATCATAGGTTATTCTTCCCTCACCAAGCACGGAATCTATCTCTGCCTGTGCTTTCTTCATCTTGTCAGGATGTTGAGCAAGAAGAAAAACAGCCCAAGTAAGCACAGCAGCCGTTGTTTCATGGCCAGCGATAAGCATTGTCATCAGATCATCCCTAAGCTGACGATCATCAACATCTGCTCCCCTCATATCCACTAGAAACCGCAAGAGACTTGCATCCTTAAGATTTGAGTAGTCCCTTTTCTGTAGTTGCTCGACATCTGCTTCCTCTCGCGTCTCTTTTGCATTCCTGATAAGATCATCGAGGCAATCATTGATACACTTGATGTCTTTTTGGAACTTTCGCTGCCTGGGAACTAGCCATCTTGCTAGAGGGATTTTCCAGTAAGGAATATAGAATGTAGATCGGTGTTCGGCTTCAAATAGAGTACCATATACAGCCTTAATAACAGGAGATTCTTTTGTAACAGAACCAAAGTCATAATTGAAAACCCCTAGCCCAATTATATCAAGTGCTAAACTAGAAAATTCAGCTTCCAAGTCCAATTCTATCTTCTTCCCTCCTTTTCCCACTTCTTCTTCAAGAAGCTGTTCAAACTTCAAAGTCGTTCTCTCACAACAATCAGTAAATACTTTGACCATGGCTTCTAAGTACAATGCATGGAACCCGGGAGCGATGACTATAATACAAATTAAAGCAATTAGTACATATCAAGCTTTCAGAGCATGAATCCAAAATATGTTGAATGCAGAGAAAGGACAAGAAACAGAAAACAACTACATTTGTCAAATCAGGCATATCTGTCAACATCTTTTCAATATTTTCTAATTTTCTGTATGTGTGTATTCACATTTGGCCGTTGAAAGCATTTTTCATCAACAATCAATATGCAATGTATTAATAGAGCATTGACAAGCTGCTATACAATACTGAAAATGACAAGGTTATGAAAGAGGCAAAGAGTGATGGGGACAAGGAATGGTAGAAGAACCCTATCAATAGGTTCTTTCATATTTATGACCAGGATCATCATGATCCGAGGAGGAAACCAAAGTATGAGACCTTTGGTTAGCTTAATCACTAGTACTTACAATATGCAGGAATATTTTGTTATTCTAGAATAAGGGTACTTCAGTAATTCTGCTATGTTGCAGGATTTTCCTGGAGTACTGGTTCCTATTATTGGTATTTAGTTTAATTTCCTTATGGATTAAGTTTTAGGTCGTCAAAAGAAATTTAGTTTTAGGAAGCTAATATTTAATTACCTATTTGCTGCTGGTTTAGGCCTATAAATATGTACCTCATTTGAGGGTTTTAGACAGTTATGAAATTAATAAAAATTCCTGCAAGCTTTTGCTTTCAACATCAGTTGTGTGACTCAACTAAACCCTTGCTGTGATGCCTAGGATTCCTGCGGTGTGACGCCAAAGGGCCCTAAGAGTGATTAGGTTTTCTTCTTTTTCCTACTGTTTTCTTCTCTTTTCCTACTGCTTATATCTGTGTTCCTGCGATTTCTACCCTTATTCCCTACAGTTTTCTATTGATTTTCACTGCATACTACTCTTTAATCAGCCTAAGTTCTGATTTCCTGGGGTTTTAATAATTTTCTGATCAGATTAGAATTGATTTTCCTGATGAATTCTGTTTCCAAAAGGGTTTAGAGATCAACAACTATGAATCCCCATAGCATAGGTTATCCTAATTGCCTTCTAGTTCAGAAATGGTTGAGGAAGATGAGCAGGAATACAATGATGATGAAAAGGAGATGGGCATGTTTGATACTGACGATTTGGAAGAGGTAGAAGATGATGTTGATAAGTCCTATCTTTCACTAATTTGGCGAATTTCTAGAGCACCAAAAACAGGGGAGGAAGATTGGAGAAGGACAGAAATCTTTCAGACATTGGTTTATTTGGGAAAGCTGTCAAGAAAGTGATTATAGATGGCGGTAGTAGTGCGAATTTGGTTTCTGAATCCACTGTGGAAAGGCTGAATTTTAAAAAGAGCCACATCCATAACCACATAAGGTTGGTTGGATTAATGGCACAACTATTCCTGTTACTAAGTGTTGCTTGGTAGACATCAAAAGAGGGAGGTATGTTGATTCTATATAGTGTGATGTTATTCCCATGACTGTTTCACATATAATCTTAGGAAGACCTTGGTCATATGATCAGGAAGTAAAGAATGATGGTCAAGCCAACACATACTCCTTTAACTTCAACAACATAAAAGTTGTTTTGAAGCCCCAAACTGATGAATATATGATGAAGCATTGCTTACCTAAACAAAAAAGTGATCAAGTGGTTCCTGAGATTTCAGCAACAGTTAGTGACCAGAACGTTTCTAAGGAGGAAGGCTGTGTTCAGATTCAAAATTTTGAAGAGCAACCTTTAGTGGAATCTAATCCCCTTGTTCATGAAGTTCCTGAATTTTCAGAAGTTAAGGTTGAAGCTCCTGTTGTTCAAATATCTGCAGAGCATGTAATGGTGAATCCAATTGGAGTGAGTGCTGCTTACACAGGTCAAGAAAATATTTATATGGACCTTGATGTTCAGAATTCCAAGGAGCCATACAAAGAAGAAACTAAGACTGATTTGATAGGATCTTCCGCATTTCAGAAACTTCAGAAATCTAAGCTTAATGAGGACACTGATAAACCAATGATTCATGTTGCTCAAAAAATTCCAGAGGAGATTGTAATGGCACATTCAAAGGTTCAGAGTGATACATTGAAGTTCTTTGAAACCCACATAGTTCAAGGAAGCAATCTGATGGATCATACTAGTAAAGAGACTAAGGTCAATGAAAGCACAGAACCAACAGAGACTTGCAAACTGTATGAGTCTGATGAGAAGCAAACTCTAGTACTTCTTCAGAACCTTGCTAAATTTCAAGATCAAGGGAATAAAACTTTTCTGGTGAGAAAATTTCTAGACAACCAGGCTCGAAAACGTGTTGACTCTTGTAAAGTAGTTGACATGATGATTGAAATTTCTGCAATAAGAGATTTTATGGGGACAAATTGCATGAAGCCCGACAAATTTTTCAGACCTAGTCAAGTGAAGGTTTATGATCCTGGTATTCAACACATTGATTTTGTTCTTGGAGAGGATTATAACAACAAACGAGCAAACAGATTTCAGATGTCTATTCTTATTCCTACATTTCGATGAAGGTTCTTATTGAATATGCTGCAGTGTCATGTCTTATGTTTCAGATTGTCGGGTTCTTCATTCTCAGACATTTTAGAACTCGAGGACGAGTTTTTTCGAACCAGGGGAGAATGATGGGGACAAGGAATGGAAGAAGAACCCTATAAGTAGGTTCTTTCATATTTATGACCAGGATCATCATGATCCGAGGAGGAAACCAAAGTATGAGACCTTTGGTTAGCTTAATCACTAGTACTTACAATATGCAGGAATATTTTGTTATTCTAGAATAAGGGTACTTCAGTAATTCTGCTAGGTTGCAGGATTTTCCTGGAGTACTGGTTCCCTATTATTCGTATTTAGTTTAATTTCCTTATGGATTAAGTTTTAGGTCATCAAAAGAAATTTAGTTGTAGGAAGCTAATATTTAATTACCTATTTGCTGCTGGTTTAGGCCTATATATATGTACCTTGTTTGAGGGTTTTAAACAGTTATGAAATTAATAAAAATTCCTGCAAGCTTTTGCTTTCAACATCAGTTGTGTGACTCAACTAAACCCTTGCTGTGATGCCTAGGATTCCTGCGGTGTGACGCCAAAGGGCCCTAAGAGTGATTCTTAGGTTTTCTTCTTTTTCCTACTGTTTTCTTCTCTTTTCCTACTGCTGATCTCTGTGTTGCTGCGATTTCTACCCTTATTCCCTACAGTTTTCTATTGATTTTCCGCTGCATACTAATCTTTAATCAGCCTAAGTTCTGATTTCTTAACCACCACGTATTGTCCTGCGTCAAAGAGTCAACTGAAAAACATATCATCCCTAAAGTTCGTGATGGTCACTTGTCATAAGGACAACAATTTAATAATGCGAAATGCCAAGCAGATTTATCCCTGGAAGCCTTGCAGATTCCAGCAACCAAGTATAACAACGAAAAATGCTTATTCACGGTGTTACAAGGGTAAGATTATAAAGAGAAATGCCTCCTCACCTCTTCTCCTCTGCTTCCAGGTGTCAAGATCCGCAGGTATTAGGCCTTTTCCCATAATTGGCTCTAGAATTTCGGCAAGAACTCCCTACAAGTACATAAAAGAAATCCTCAAATGATTTAGAGGGGAAAAAAAAAAACAGATCATACCAGTGATAAGGTTAAGGGATACCTTGTCATAAGAAAACGCATTTTCGCGGAGAATATGTCTGGCAACAATAGGATCAGATACAACAACAAATGCTTTGGGTCCAAAGGCCAATTTATACACAGAACCGTACTGTCAGCAAAGCAAAATCAGATAACCTACATTAAACAACACACAGAAAAACATAGAATAATTTCTCTTGGGGAGCTAACTAATAATGCAAAAGCCAGAAGAAAAAAAAAAACCCCACTCCTAATACAAAAAAGTTCTTATAAAATCAATCATCATCAGGCAGTAAAAACTGCAAATGCAACATCAGACATGTGTAAAAAGCGATACCTGAAGAAACCAGTCGTACAAAGCGAAGAAAAGGGGACGGCCAAAGAGATCAGAGACAGCACCTTCAGCGATTGGCATGGAACCCATTAGGCCACCACTCAAGAAATTGGTAAGCAAGTTGCTGGCGGTGTCCAATAAGTTGAATTTCGACTTTGGTGGCGGCTGTTCCTGGAACTGGGAAGGAGGAGGAGTCCTTGTGGATTGGCATCTGCAAACAGCAAATGGAAATTATGACATTCCCATCTTCACAATTCCGGCGGTTCTTAAAGTTCAGAATTTGGAAGAGAGTGTAAATTTGAGTGGGAAGAAAGGGAAAAGCTAACCTGATTTTAGTAGCAGGGAAGAGGAAGGAAATGGAGGAGGAGGAGGAGGAAGAGGAGGAGACGCCATATCTGCAACCGAAATTGGTGGTGGCGGGAGGAGTCGGAGAAAGACTACTAGTTAGTATTGTCATTTTGGATTGGATTTTCTTTTCCTTTTTTCTCGGTTTTTGTGGGGGCGGAAAAGAGAAATACAACTGCTCGTTCTTCTTTCTACTAGGCTTTGTGGCCGCACCTTGTGCGGCAAAGGGTAAGTGATAGCCCGGATTTTGACGAATCCTCAAGAAGTTCCAATTTTATTCTCGGCTTAACAAAATGCATTACACCATTCTTAAAGTGCATTAAGTTTGCTTTTGTGGTGACTCTATGAACTTGTGAAACGCTATTTAACAAAGTCCACTTTCGCGTCTCATCCATGAGATTTGGGAGATTGAATGAAATTATCCTAAAATTGCTTTAAATTAAAGATCAAACATTCAAATTCTTGCAATGGCTCCTGAACTAAAGAACCAAATGGTGGAACTGAATTGGCAACACCAAATGTAAATCCAACATTGGTTTTTCTAGACCAAATAATGAATCACCGCAACAATAAAGTATCCCAAGTAATTTATAAAGCAAATTATTTCCCAACACAAAGCATGGTATAGAGTTCTTCCTATACATCAGTTTCACTTCATCTTTCTGAACTCTAGCCAGCTTGTGATTTGGAATTACTTCTCGTTCAATGTATTCTAAGTATCACCCATTGGTTTTTGCTTGCCAGTATCAAGCGAATTCCATCCATGGACTAAGTTTTTGGGAGTTTTTTATCTAAAAAATTATTTAAAAAAGATCTCGACAAAAATAATATGGATCTAAATTAGGTGGACAACACTAGTTCTCTCAAATTTATCAAATCCGAGAGTACCGTACAGTCAGATTTCGCAAATCTGAGACCACTGAAACTCGGATTAATGTAATTCCAGACTTTAATAACCTAAAATTACTTAAATTAAATCAAAGAATTAATTTAAACTAATCAGGTCAGATTTCGCAAATTCGAGAGTCAACAATAAAAAAATATTTATTTTTTAGAAAAATAATCTAAGTGTTCGAAAATAAAAGTTGACTAGAACCGGATTAGCCTAATCCGAAACATGGAAATTCGGACTTTGAAAATCCGAAAGTTTATAGTAAAAAATTATTTTAAGTTTTAGAAAAAAAAATCTAAGTGTTAAAAATAAAAGGGAAGAGACTCGGGTTTCGATAATCCGAGCCTCTTTGTTCTTACTCTCGAATTTGAAAAATATGAGTTGTTTAGAAAAAAACAACTTTCGGATTTGCGTTTACCCGGGTAGTGCTCATACTCACACAAGGCACATTAAACTAAACCCTAAACCCTAAAATCCAACATTTTGAACTAAATCGGATATTGAAAATCCAATTTTTAGTTGAAAATCTGAGTTTAAACTAAAATCGGATTTGGGAAATCCGTAACTAAACCCTAAACCCTAAAAGTCGAATTTTAGAAATCCGAGTTTAAGCTAATCTCGGATTCTCGTAATCTGAGTTTGAAATAAATTCGAATTTAGAAAATCCGAAACTAAACCCTAAATCCTATGACCTGATTTTGAAAATCCATTTTTTTTGCTTAACTCGAATTCTGGAAATTCGATTATTTGCTTAAAAAGTACATAAAATTAGTACAGATGAACTATACTGAACTAATAATAATATCTAATGATTAACAGATTTAACAGTAATAAGTAGCACTAGTGCCATTGATCTATAGTGGGTAATAGTATTAATGTACTACATAATACAAGTATATATAAATAATATATAACACTAGTACATATGAATTATACTGAATTAATAATAATATCTAATAACTAACAGATATAACAGTAATAAGTAACATTAGTATCAGTGATGCATAGTGGGTAATAATATTAATATATTACATAATATTAGTACGTATAAAAAATACATAACACTAGTACATATGATTTTTTTTTTCTATGAACACTAGTACATATGAATTATACTGAATTAATGATAATATCTAATGACTAAAAGATTTAACAGTAATAAGTAACACTAGTACAACTGATGTATAGTGGGTAATAGTATAATGTACTATATAATACTAGTACGTTTAAAAAGTACATAACACAAGTACATATGAATTATACTAAATTAAGGATAATGTCTAATGACTAACAGATTTAACGGTAATAAGTAACACTAGTACCAGTGATGTATAGTGAGTAATAGTATTAATGTACTACATAATACTGCTACGTATATATAGTACATAATACTACGTAACACTAGTAATATATATTTTTCATCAATTATATTGAACTAATTTAATTCAAATTCCTATCAGATTTAATAATACTATGTAACATTAGTAATATATATGTTTCATCAATTTAATGTAAATTCTTAGTAATTATTAGTAATGAAAGATTTTATTAATATCATATCTAATACAATATTTTTTAATTTTTATTTTTTAAATGTGGATATGTCAATTTAATGCGAATTCCTATCAATACTCAAATTTTCAAAGTTTTTTTTTCACTAAAATATTTTTATTTTTATTTTAGAAAAAAGGTAATTTGGATTTCTGAAATCTGATTTCACTGTTTATTTATTAAATTTTCAAACTTTCCCACCATAAATAAAATTTTACATTTTCCCGCCCTTCAGTTTTTGTATAAAAAAATTATGTTGGGGAAGCTATCGAATTTCGGAAATCCGAGTTTACTGTACACATTTTGACTTCGGTTCTTCTTTTTTCAAAATAACAAAAAAATTAATATTTTATTATTTTTTATTGTTTCGGATTTGACAAATCCGAAAGTCCGATTAAATAGACATCGGATTTGCCAAATCCAAGACAACTACTTATGTCCACTAAAATTAAAGTAAATTTTTTTTTGTCCACATCAAATCTCTTAAAATTTTTTTGGCCGAACGCTGCACCTATTTCACATTCCATCTGCCCAAAATACTCATACCAATACTATCCACATGATTAATTCCACTCCATTTTCCAGTTTCAAATGTACTGACTTGACAAACCAAAGCATTCTTAACAGAAGTTCCAGAACGAACTTGTTTTACCGAGGCATCACATGCTTCTGTAGGCGTTGCCGCAAGATCAATTTGCTTAGCTTTTCCTTCAAATATGCCTATGTTAGAACCCTTTCTTCCCAATTGCTTAATTTCATATCAAACACGACCTTGGTTTACACAAATTTTTGACCATCTATAAATTTACAGCGCTCAAAATTTGTATGCACAAAAACATCTTCAGCTTCATTGTCAAGCCAGTTTTTACAGTAAAAAAAAAAACTAATAGCAAATCACCTGACTCCGGTCCTAGATAGGCAAAACCACCTGACTTGATTTCTTCATAAGGGCATATGGATGTGGCCGTAGAATGGCTAGACATATTTCATCTAAGACTGAAGCGGAATAAACAAGGAGAATAGTGGAGGCGGTTGGATAGGCTTTATCAACCAGAAGCTACCACCATTTGAAAGATCAAGCTCGAACTATTAACTAAGCTCCAGAAAATGGTGGCGATAAGGCTTGTTCTTCTACAGGGGAAATTCAACAACTTATTTGCCACTTCCCTTCAAAATAATACCCCACACCCGGGTTGCCTTTTCTATTGTTAGTATGGAGACCATCATAATCATAATCACTCCCAGAGCCCAAAAGTAATCAAGAAGACAATGGCTACAGAAAGTAAAACTGCAAGCTCCAAACTCAGATGTTGTTAAGGAATCAATCATAAGTTCATAATCATGGAGCTATCAAAACAGAGAATTTTTCCATCAACAAACACAATCTGGACCCAAAAAATCTCCACCATGATAATTGAAAAAGACTTGTATATCAACCTTGTTACCTCCGGGAATGAAAATTAAAACATATCAGACCGAAAACAATATGAAGATTTATGCTTCCGGAAAACCATAAAACATTGAGGAAAGGCAAAATATGCATATATTCATAACCATTAACCAGGTTAACAGAAAAAGATATGTGATTGCAAATATGACCAAGGAGTTAGAAACATAACAACTCCTTATTAAAGGATTAAGGAGACGAGTCATCAAGTTCAACAGTCATGAGATTACATTATTCATTCCATTTTAGACAAAAAAGTACTTGAACTCTAGAAACTCAAGGCCAATGGCATCACCATATACCTCTTCTTCCGCTCTTCTGAGCTGAACCTTCAGGTTTCTGATAACAAAACAAAATCCAAACACTATTAGCTATTCATTCACTTCTTTACAATTTATAGAATTCAAACTGGAAACTTCTTTACATTTATAGAATTCAAACTGGAAATTGAATTGACGAATTTATGATACCTACCATTTATCTACACAAAATAGAACAGAGAATCGGAATGAGTTTGAATTGAATTGACGAATTTATGGTACCTACTATCTTAACTACGCAAAATAGAACAGAGAATCGGAAATGAAAAATCAAAAATGAAACAGTAATTAACCTTACCAGATTTATCGTGTTTGGCGTTCTACTTCTCGGCTATCATAACATTAATTCAAAAAACTAAGAAACTAATCAATACACTGTCTAAGGGAACAAACACTTCATGTGCAGACCGAGCAGCATAGTTTGTGATGGTAGGTGATGTTTTTTAGCACCCTGCACCCACGAAAACAAACACTAATACAATTCTATTTAAACTATGCTTTGTCTAACAACAGTCCATCATCTCAAAAACAATTGAAATTTAGACTTTCCCTTCATTAAAATATACCTCAAAACTAATCTGAGTAAACCCACCCGAGTCCAGGCTCTGTTCCATAAAAAAAATGTCATAAAAGCAACTCCACGGGTAGTTACCCAGACCAAGAATTTGGAAGAAAACACCCCGTTTAGTATGAATCAACCAAAGACGGTGGATTTGAACCGAATCGAATAAAATTTTGAAATAAAGAACAACCCCACAAGCTTCTAAAAATTGGTTACCTTACCATTATTTAGCTGATTCGTTAACTGTAAGCGCCACCCTTGGGGCCAGCTTATCCTTTACGCCATCACTGCCACAACAAAAGATTCAAAATGCCGCCATAACGGATGAGATTTCAGCCAGAACCTAAACTACCCCTGCCCCTCAATCGCATCAAATCGGTCAAAAAGAGGTTCAATTATTTGCGAGGAAAGAACTGGTGCGGCGACGAAAGCTGGATTGGAAGAAGATGGTCGATCAGAATATGGATCCAATTGGAGAAATTATAGTGTTTAATGGTTGATGCAGTGATTGGAGTTGGAGAAGTGAAACATCAAAGAAGAATGATGGTAGGTTTCAATCTGACAACTTCAGGAAAAAAACAGACATTAGGAACGGGTGAAAAGGAGCCATAGCGAAGGTAGCTAATAGGCGATTTACACGTGTGGGGGAGAGCGACCGGCCACCGTACCTAAACAGGTCCATGGCCGGTGAACTCCCCCTTATATATACTTAGATTTTGGTGTCAAACCGAACAAATCATAGCCGTCCACGTATTCCTTCCAGTCACGCGGCACCATCGACGGCCAAAGTGGGGCGTTCACATTATGAATCATCCAATTTGCTTATCTTATCACTAGTTCCATAAAACTAATTCTAAAGTATAAAATTATGCAAAAAGTGAACAATTAGAGCAATCACAATGGTTATCAGTATTACCATCGTCGTGTAATAACTTATAAAGATTAATTCTTAATTTGGATAATACAGTAAAATATTTTTAAATTAGTCATATTCATAAATTAATAATCATTTCCGTTATCAAATTAGGACCCGTACAAAAATAAGAATAATCCATAAAATAATAAGATAATAATTTTTCAAAATAATCTTATACATAGATATTGATGCTATCAATACCATTAATTAATAATTATAAAAAAAATTAAAAAAGATAAAGGGTTAATTAAAAAGAATTGAAGTATAGGAAACTATGTAAAAACCCCCCATGTAGTATAGAAATATCTATAGGACTCCTTTTTGCTTTTTTTATTATTATAATTATTATATATATGGGAAATTCTAGAGTCCAGTTGTTTTTTACTGAACAGTACAGTTAAAAATTCAACCAATCAAAATTAAAGGCACAATATGGATTCATAGGGTGAGAGACATTGTAACAAATCTATCCAGAGCCTTTCCATGCTATAATTAAGTAATTTACCGACAAAAAAAAAATATAACCAAACAATAATTGAGTTACCTTCATTAAAAGATAAATTACAAATTAACTAATAAAAAATCTAAGAAGGATTTCATTAAACTAGTTTTATATACAAATTTTGAAGGACATAATATATGCTAAGAGAAGGTGGACTCGGTTTTCCGGCGATTTTTGCTTTTTTTTTTCAATAAGCTTTCCGAGAACCCCAAAAAGAATTAAGGTTCCATTGCATCTTTGGAAATTTAAATGAATATACTCTATAATGGATTCCGGCAAAACAAATACCTTAATTAGTTTCGATTTGTTGATTACCAAGTTATTTTCATAACTTCAATGCGCTCTTTAATTTTATATCTATAGTAATTGATCTTGTTGCGAAAGAAGGATAAAACAGCCGATAATGGAAAAAAAAAAAAAAAAAAAAGAAGAAGGAGGAGGAGGATAAAACAGAGGGAAAAGGAAGAGAGTCAATGGATGCTCTGATTGTATAATTTTCTACACATATAAAAAAGGATTACATTGCATATTCATGTTAATTGTTGTTTGTTGTTTACGGGGCAGGGGCAAAGAAAGAGAATCAGGGATTTTGGTTTATGAATTTTAGGGAAGAAGAAGGGCGGCGGGAAGATACAGAA